CCCTCTCTCACTCTGTCTCTCTCTGTCAAATAAATAAATAAAATCTTTAAAAAAAAAAAAAGAATATTATGATTTTCAGAAAATCAGCCTCTCTGAGCCTTAGTTTGCTCAACCATAAAATGGGAATAATAAGATATGCCTTATTTCAGGGTTACTGAAAAGTCTCAGCCCTCACCTTCAGTCCAGTGTTCATTTCACTATTTTAGTCATGCTGCCTTCCAGATACAGCAAACATAATGTATCTCCTGGCTCAGTGAAAAGCACAAATAATGTGTCTTAAAAACTTAATTACACCTAACTCTGCTTAAGCTATATATTAAGAAATTATATTCTCCACATTTAGTTTCTCTTGATCTGAGAATAAACTTTACAAAAGCATCCTTAAATTTACCTCTTCTTTCTTCTTAGGGTCTGACATGGGATTCCGGAAGAGAGGAGAGTCTCCAAAAGGTGAGTACGTTAAACTATTGATGTGCTGTTGGAGAACAGCTTGCTGGGCAGCAGAAGCATTGGGATCTGTCAAAGCTTTTTGGAAAAAAGAAAAGAGAAAGGAAGATGTCAGTCCAGGGATCCAATGCAATTATAGCAAGAGAACACAGAATCATTTTGGAGACGTCTTCAAAATGTTCAGACTCACTCAATGGCATTATTGGTGGAGAGCAGAGGAGCAAACTGTGAAGAAAATCAACAACCAAATAAACTAATGGGTAAAAGATACGAAGAGGCATTTCATAAAAGACAACACACAAAAAATTTTACTTAGGTGTTTGTTGTCACTAACAATCAATGAAATGCAATTTAAACAACCTTGAAGAAATATTTTATATCTACCTCATTATCTATTAGTTGTATATGTATCAGCTGTATCAAAAGAATTATAGTCTTTGACTTCTAGACACATTATAAATTGACTTACTCTGTCTAAAAGAAACAGTAACAGTACATAAAGCAAATACTGTTTTTATATTTTTTAACCTACTCATACCAATCATGGAAATTTAACCCAAGGGTTTAAACAAACTAGAAACAAAGAAATGCTTATAAATATTCAATAAATATTATCTATAATTGTTAGGACTTGAAAACAACCTATACCCAACATTAATAGTTGTAAAAATCATGATACATCAACATGGTGGGTTAAATAGTTATTAAAAATAATGACAATGTGTTTCACGGTGGAAATAAGGAAGTATCTTTGATTTAATTTAGTAAGTAAAAATTCCAGAATAAAAAATATTAAGTATACTAAGACTATTGAGGAAGAAAGTGGAATACAAAAAAATGAAAATGGCTGTAAAGGTGTCCTTATATGTTTATTATTTACATTTAATATTCATATTCAAGTAAAAATTAAAAGAAAAAATATCACTCCAATTAGTCTAATTTTCTTTTAAAGTGTAAAAACATGTCATTAGTCACAGAGAATTTAGGGAACAGAAAAGGAATGATGATCTATATCACACACAGTAAAAAATAAACAAGAAAACCCCCACAACTATCTGCATTATACCCTGATTGATGAAGAAACCTTTTTGCAAAATAGTTCCAAATGATTAAAAAAAAAATCAAATCACACCTAAATAATTTTAGAGATTAAAACACTTTTTTCCTTTATAAGTGTTTAAAACAAGGCTAATGCCAAAACATAATAAGATAATCCACAATGAAGGAATCCCTCAATCAAAACATTTGGAAAATTTTAATACAACAGGGAGAAAAAAAGCACAACAGCAACAGCAGCAACAACAAACCCAGAACAGAGCTAAAGCTTAAGTAACGAAAAAGGGGTAAATCCACCTTAGTCAAATTAAGCTTTCTTAAAATCAGATGTATTAATTAAATACTAAAACTGCAGGCGCCTGGGTGGCTCAGATGGTTAAGCATCTGCCTTCGGCTCAGGTCATGATCCCGGAGTCCTGGGATCGAGTCCCGCATCAGGCTCCCTGCTCTGCGGGAAGTCTGCTTCTCCCTCTGCCTCTCTCTCTCTCTCATGAATAAATAAAATCTTTAAAAAAAAAAAACAACAACTAAAACTGTATGCTAATATATAAGGGGAGAGTACAAGTTTGCTCAAGACTGAAACCCAGAGGAGATGTCAATTTAAAGAGCATATAGCAAATCATCTGTATGATGTTCCTAAATCCAATTTAAGTATCAGTGAGGAAAAAAAATATAAAAAAGTAGCTTCAGTACAGAGTGCCACACAACAATAGCATAAATGTTATTCTATGGACTATTCAAGGACACTCAAGAAAACCTGGAAGTTTTTGTAAGAATTCTAATATTCACTAGTCCGTCTATTACTTGACAGGCAATTATGCATTAAAAATAACACTGACATGTACCAGCTGATCCCATCATTAACAAGTATAATAGGTCACCCCATCTGGGCTTACTCAAAAGAATAAAACTCCTTTAACAAATCCAAACGTAATTAGGAAAGTGTGTGAACAGGATATTTTTATTTTTGTATGCTTAAATATGAAATATTCTCTAAGTTAACTGTATTATTTAAAAATATAGATAAGAGAGCTGGTATGTTAGCAAAAATAAGAGAACAATCAAGCATAAGCACTAGTTAAGCTACCATTTGTGTTACAGTCAATTCCGGTCACAATAATTTGAGAACATACTGAAAAGCCACATCATGACCAAATGATTAAAGGCACAGGAAAAAGTATAAAAAATAAAGTCTGAGAATAGAAAAACCTGATGATATTTTATCTGGAAGGACAATAGGGTTACTGCAAAGAAACTGTACCAGACTGGTTTGCTTAGCTTAGGAGGTAAAAGTAGAACCACTGAGTGGAAATTCTAGGGAGGCATGTTTTGGTTTCTAAACAACCTGAACAAAACAATGGACCAGACTGATTTGGAAAACTGTAACTGAGAACTCCCACAGTAAGAGAGGACTCACATAAGCTCTAAAGCACCTTCCAACTAACATCCTATGATACAAAGATGTACATTCTAAAAGGCAATATGGCTACTTTTAAATGTGTGGTAACAGTACCATATGTAACTGTAGTATTAAATGCTTATATCAGGAACTTTTAATTGACTTCAGAAAAAGATGCATTATCAAAAACCATTCAAGGGGTGCCTGGCTGGCTCAGTCAGAAGATCATGCTACTCCTAATCTCGGGGTTGAGTTCAAATCCCACGCTGGGTATAGAAATTACTTAAATAAATAAAAAAAAATTTTTAAAAACCCAAACTATTCAAAACACTATCCAGGTAAAAATGGCAGGTTACAATATTTATGGTATGTCCTCCTACTGAAAACAACTAAAACTAAGGAAAAGAAATAAAAGTGAAAATATCACTTTTAATGATAAAGCTTATTCTAATGTTCACACAAATTAGAATTCTAATTCACCTCCAAACCAAAGATCTAAGTAAAATCTGTTTTTTAAAAAAGATTTTATTTATTTATTTGAGAGGAGAGTGAGTGACTGAGAGGGAGAAAGAGAGAGCGTGCGAGTGTGCACGCACGAACGGGAAGGAGGAGCAGAGGGAGAGGGAGAAGGAGACTCCCCGATGAGCAAGGAGCCGGATGCAGGGCTCAAACCCAGGAACCCGGGATCATGACCTGAGCCAAAGGCAGATGCTTAACCAAATGAGCCACCCAGGTGCCCCTATGTAAAATCTATGTTTAAAACAAATTAAAATATATCTATATAACCCACAATGACAAAGAATGGGACATAACAAACGAACAGAAGAGAAAATATAACAAATTTCTAGGGGAAAGAAGTGGACAGAGGAGTGACAAAGCAGGATACAGCAAAGGATAGCTTAGAGTACATTCATAGGGGATTACAGCCCAAAGTGGAGCATATCTGCCCTGTAGAATCCCAGAAAGATTAGGGATTCAATGATACCAAGTTTGATGAAGTGAGACTGAAAGCAGGAGAGATGAACCAACGCAAAGTACATATACAAACACCCATACCTTCATCCTTCCTAATCCCTGATCCTCATGAGATAAGCCAAACATCAGAGAGTGTGCCTCTGATGAAATCAAATTAACATATGGAAAGAACAAGGGCAACTCGTTTCAGTACTTGCATCATCCCAGAGCTAAGAATATAACAATCAGAGGACCCTTGGATAATAGCTGGTTCCTGGACTACTTACCTTAAAGTGAACCTTACTGGTAAACAAGCTCTACGCATACACAAAAACTGCCAGTGAGCTTTTTATTATTTTATTCTTGAATATGAATGGTAAAGATCACAGAGCATTAAAGAGTAGGACCAAAGCAAAAATAATCCTGAAGATTTAAGGCACAGAAAAGTCCTAAAAAAATTTTTTTAATGCCAATTAACAAAGTTTCAAGAAAAAATTGCATCTAAGAACCAGATGCTTGAGAAAAGGAACTGTCAGAGAATGAGAAAGAATTCTTGCTAAGTTGAAAATAAAAATCCAAACCGATGATGATTTAGAAGACATTCAGAAATCTCCTAAAAAGTAGAAACACAGCTTAAAAATCAAGCATTTAGAAAGGGGGCACCTGAGTGGCTCAGCTGGTTAACTGTCTGACTCTTGATTTTGGCTCAGGTCATGATCAGGGTTGTGAGACAGAGCCCCATGTCGGGCTCTGGGCTGGGTGTGGAGTCTGCTTAAGATTCTCTCTCCTTCTCCCTTTGCCCCTCCCCCACTCTAAAAAACAAACAAACAAAAAGATAGGGTATAAGCAATTCAGTGAAATTTCAGGACAAAGGGACAATCCTAAATGCCTGTGGGGGTAGTAGCTGAACACATCTCAAGAATCAGAAAAGCATTAGACTTCACAGCACATAATGGTTAATGCAAGGAATATAGTCCAAGTTCTGAGGATAAATTATTTTCACACTAGAATTCCATAACATTAAAGCATGAGGAACAAAAAGAGGTATTTTCAGACCTATAAGTGATCGAAGTTTACCCTTCATATACACTTTACTTAAAAACACATTCCAGGGGGCGCCTGGGTGGCTCAGTTGGTTAAGCGACTGCCTTCGGCTCAGGTCATGATCCTGGGGTCCCGGGATCGAGTCCCATATCGGGCTCCTTGCTCAGCAGGGGGTCTGCTTCTCCCTCTGACCCTCCCCCCTCTCATGTACTCTCTCTCTCTCATTCTCTCTCTCAAATAAATAAATAAAATCTTTAAAAAAAAAAAAAAAAAACACACATTCCGGGGCGCCTGGGTGGCTCAGTTGGTTAAGCGACTGCCTTCGGCTCAGGTCATGATCCTGGGGTCCCGGGATCGAGTCCCATATCGGGCTCCTTGCTCAGCAGGGGGTCTGCTTCTCCCTCTCCCACTCCCCCTGCTTGTGTTCCCTCTCGCTGTGTCAACCACATTCCAGACAATTCAGGAAATAAATAAAAGGGAAAAACCTACACCTAGGACAGAGCAGTTCCCACTGAGTAGCCCTGAAGGGAATACTGAGAGCAATGCTGAAGGCCTAGGGAATAATCAGAGTTCATACTGCTGCAGGAGGAAGGACAGAGGGATCAATGAGTGACATATCCAGGGTAAAAGAATTCTGATACCATCCTTAAGAATTTGGACCAGTTCAGGAAGGTGATAAGGACTGGTAATCCAAGGGGAAAAAAGAATTAGAAATTCTAGGAGAAAGAAAAAGCTGTATAAAAAAGGTGTATGTGGCTGGGCAGCAATGTTTTCATAGTTGTAATAATATGCTGTGTTCACCTTTACAACTTTTAAATTATTCTTTAATCAGAGAAAAGATGACGGTAATAATTATAGGACAGAATACATTATCATCACTTTCAATATGAAAATATAAAGATGGCAAAAGAAGAAATGAAAAAAGAAGGGTAAGAAAGGGCACTAATACCCTTACTTGATCAAGAGGACTCAAGAAATACTCTCAGTTGACAGAACAAGAAAAAGTATGTAGGGACACAGCTTAAATTTGCAAAAAGCTTATCCAAATGTGGTACACGGATCATGATAGTATGGGAGATGAACTTCATGGTACATCTTTCTCTTGCTCTCTCTCATTCACTCAGTTACTCTTATTTATGCCAGGTGGTAACAGTTTTTTATCTCCAACAGAACAGATTTCTTTTAAAAAGGTATTTAAGCTAAAAAGTTAATTTTAATTTAAAAATAATGACAGACGTAGGAGGCAGAGAGGGCAAAAACTAGGAAAGGGTATTCAAATGAACGAAGTATCAAAAACACTCCAGTAGATAAAACTAAACTTAGGGTATTTAGTAACATAGCTATATTAGGAGAAGTGAATAAAGAACACAGAAGTAGGTGATAAGTGAGCTCTATTTCTCATCTACCATTAACAAGTTAAATTTATTTAAGACTTAATAAATAAAGCAAAACAAAGCAACATAAGCACATCATTTAGAGATAGGAACTTAACTACGTATCAGGAAACAAAGTGGCCATAACAAAGCAGTCTCTTTAGGGGACAAGGCATGGGAGTGGGGAAGTGGAAAAGGCCAGGATCCATCACAAGCCCTTCTGCACCACATGACTGTTTAATGATGTGCGTCTGTGTACTGCTTTGGTAGGGGTGGGATGGACTGGGAGGAAAATCAGGTCACCAAGTCAAGTATTAGCAAGAAATAAACTGAGTAAAGCCTTCTAAAGTGACTGACACTTACCTACTGGGGCCTGGGGGGCTCCAAAGCCCAAAGTGGCTGTCGTAGTATTAAATCCAGGGGCCCCAAAGGCTCCTGTACCAAGAGGCCCTCCGATCTTAGGTTGGTTGTTCCCAAACAAAGATGCCTGTCCAGCACCAAGAGCTATGGAGACAAGAGGAAAGAAAAAGCGCCACAGGAGATCCTTTGAATGTTATGCCAGAGGTCAGTTACTTAAAAATATAATACATTTGGAAACTTCATAATGACCACTCATTTCAACAAGAGTATGTAATACAGTAAATGCTAATTACTGCCAGGTACTGTGCTGAGTACATTATATACATCAGAGGCAAAATACGTAACCTCACTGTGCTTCAGTTTCCTCAACTATAACATGAGATAGTAATACACAGATATCTATCCTAAGGTTAAAATGAATAAACACACATTAAGTATTTACAAGAGGACTGGCAGATATTAATACTCATTAAATATTAGCTAGTATCTCACTTAATCTTCATAAGCCTGAAGTAGGAAATATCCACATTTAACAGATGAGAAAACTGAGGGTTTAGTAATCAGTTCAATGTCACAAATGTAGTAAATGGTGAAAATGAGGTTCAAACATTGGTGCATCTGACAATACAATCAGGGTTCTTAACTGCTACACTATAGAAATAGAGTTTGAAAGAATTAAAAAATAATCAAGTCTCCTTAAATCTCAGTATTTGCAAGTCAAAATATGAAGATGAACCAAACACAATGTCATCTTTTTGACTAACTTATAGGCTAAACTATAGAAAACCAAACCCAATACATCTTCTTTGAACAGCAAAAGTAATACTTTCAAATATACCATCTCATGCAAACTACACCAAGACAAACATTTTGTTTTATAAAAAGCTAAATGGGGGCACCTGGTTGGCTTAGTTAGAAGAGAGTGCAATTCTTGATCTTGTGGTCATGAGTTAGAGTCCCACTTAGAGTACAGAGATTACTTAAATAATAAAACTTAAAAAAAAAAAAGAAAAGAAAAGCTAAATGCCTTGTGATGTGCTTACCGAGCAGACTCAAGTTTCATCATGAATCAGACCGGATGGAATAAAAACTTATTTTCACCAAGGGGAAACCCACTGCAGAAACTTATGTTTTAAAGCCTAATGAATCTTGCTTATGGATCTTGTTGTGCCAGTGAAAATGGGACAAATTTATTTAGAATAAATTATTGGCATAAAAATTTTTTAAAAATTTCCATCACCTCCTCAAAAAGTTACTGGCAATTTAGAAGATCTAAAGTTCCTTTTAACGCCAACAGTGCATCTTGAGCGATAAAATCATTTCAAAGATATAATACTTAGAGGTCAAAAATATCGAGGGACACATGGGTGGCTCAGTCAGTTAAGCTTCCGAGACTTGATTTCACAGCTCAGGTCATGATCTCAGAGTTGTGAAATCGAGCCCCCCCCCTGGGCTCTGCACTCAGTGTGGAGCCTGCTTGAGATTCTCTCTCCCTCTCCCTCTGCTTGCACTCTCTTTCTAAAATAAGTAAAATCTTAAAAAAAAAAAAAAATCGAATACGAACTGCTTTACGATAAAAAAAAAAAGACAGGAAGTCTATACTCAGAGAATCCATACAATATAAATTAGTGAGGGTAACTACTGAATGGACAAAACATTCCTTAACTGTATAACCTCATTAATAACAAGAAGACAACAATGTAGCGAAGGGATTATTTCTCCCAAAGCCCAGCTTCAGAATAGGAAATAAGACTCCTTTTAAAGTTGCAAACCAGGGGCACCTGGGTGGCTCAGTCGTTAAGCGTCTGCCTTCGGTTCAGGTCATGATCCCAGGGTCCTGAGATCGAGCCCCGCATCAGGCTACCTGCTCAGCGGGAAGCCTGCTTCTCCCTCTCCCGCTATCCCTGCTTGTGTTCCCTCTCTTGCTGTGTCTCTCTCTGTCATACAAATAAATAAAATCTTTAATAAATAAATAAATAAATAAATAAAGTTGCAAACCATTAGAAATTGGTGAAAATTCCAAGAAAAACTGAAATTACTTCCTTGAAGGACATAGTTTACAGCACAAATTTCAGAATTCTTTATTTTTCCAGGTAACAAATACCTCTTTACCCCCTGAACAAAAACTTAGAAGAAACCCAAATATATAAAACAGACAGGGACGCCTGAGTAGCTCAGTCAGTTAAGCATCTGCCTTTGGCTCAGGTCATGATCCCAGGTGGGATCAAGTCCAGCATCAGGATCCTTGCTCAGTGGGGAGCCCGCTTCTCTCTCTGCCTGCTCCCCCTGTTGTGCACACTCTCTCTCTCTGACAAACAAATAAATGAAATCTTTTTAAAAAAATAAAATGGACAAAAATTTCTCATCTGGGTGGGTGTGTATTTCCCTCACCTTTGTAGCAGTCCTTGATGAAGAACCATGAAACAGTCTAAAAACCACTGTTACTTCAATAAGCCAAAAAAGAATAAAAAAGGCATTGGGAGGTTCAGGTGACCTGGAAAGAGACTGTCATAAAGTGACCTGTCTGCATACTGTTGCAATTTATTAACGGAAAAATACGCATTTTATCCAGAGCTATCTCCTATTATGTAAATGGATTTTTATGTTTAATGAAAGGACCTACTAATAGTCCACAAGTTAAGGGACACTCTGATGGAAGATAATGTCAATTTATAAAATGTGGTGTATTTATAATTAGTTGTAGGAATCATAAAGCAGATATATGGGGAGCACCATGGTAATAGTGGCCCTAGAAACTCCAAGGATACTCAAGAGAAAAGTGAAAATGGTTATATTCCTTTTGAGATCTTCCAATAAACATTAAAATTTAATTTTATTTATGGTATCTATTACTTTGGGTAAATTTTTCTGCGTATACCTTAGCAACAATGAACTTTACTAGATGTACCCTTAAACTTATTACTTCATGGAAAATTTTTAAGAACTAAAATTTCTTAATATTACCAAGTAACTACCGAGAAAATGCCATACTATTGATAGTGCCAATGACAGTTAATATCACTGTCAAATCAGAAACTTATACTCCCATGATTTAATGAATGTTCCTTAGTCCGAGCACATCAGGTGGGAAAATATCACACACCAAAGAATAACATAAAATGTTTTATAGGAAAATTTCTTATAGGAAATTTTACCTTTGCTGAGGTAGGAGTCTGAATCTCTATCACTCAAAATAAAAGGAGTATGAATCTCCATCACTCAAAAAAAAGGTACAAAGAATACCCACTTAGCTAGTGCCCCCAAAAAGACATCACCCAAAGCTACAGTGCTATTCTACTTGTGATACCATGAAATGCAGAGTTCATGAACGTGGGTATTTACATATAACATCTCAAGACACCCTGCTCTCAAAGCCTAAAGTCTACTTTAGCAGAAGTGACCATCAAAGAATTCCACCAGTGTATGCATGGTGGTTCACAGAACTTTCATTTCCCTACATGATCTATTGCTGCTAAGGTTGGAGGTGTAAAATTCTTTACTGATTGTATTTGGGTTTTAGTTTATACAAACAAAGCATGAATGAGGGATATATTACAGCAGTAAAAATGTTATCTGTTGTCTCTGAGGTAGAACTACTTAAGGAAAACTGAACATATTCAAATAAATAAAAAGGCTGAGAAATTACATTATCGTGAAGAGATGATGATAGCATTAGAAAAAGCTATACGACATTATATAACTTGGGACTATAGGAGAAGGCACTGCTAATAACCTGCAAGACCTAGAAGCCAAAAAGGAAAGAATGACAACTTTAACCACATAAAAATAAAACATGTGGAGCGCCTGGGTGGCTCAGTTGTTAAGCGTCTGCCTTCGGCTCAGGTCATGATCCCAG